CGCCTGGGGGGGGGGAGGGAGTGGCTACCTGTGGTGGCACCTTCCCACCTGGCCAGGGTGGATAACGTGGTGGGAGCAGAGGGCAGGTTGGCTGCAGGGCGGCCGGCTGGGGCCAGCGAGGTCCAGGCTGCCTGGTGCTTGCGAGCCTCCTCCGCAAGGCGCCCATCTGCTCACAGCCCCTTCTCTTCCCCCGCCAGCTGAGCGCAACCCGGCCTCCTTGGCTTGCCACGAGCACTTTGCCTGGGTGAGCAAGTGGGTGGACTACTCCAACAAGTACGGCTTCGGCTACCAGCTGTCCGACCACCGCATCGGGGTCCTCTTCAACGACGGGACGCACATGGCGCGCTCGGCCGATCGGAAGTGAGTGCGGGCTGCCCGGATGTCCTGCCTCGGGCATGGGGGGTGGAGGCCGGGTCTCCGGGCTTCTTCCTGCCCTGGCTGCAGCGAGAAGGGGGGTCCCCCGGGCTTTGGCTGGCAATGAGCAGGTTCTGTGGCCCACACTAGGCCCCCTGGGTGGGAGAGGGGGACTTGAGAGCCTGCTGCCCTGGCAGCAGGGAGCCGCTGGAGACAGGCATTCACCGTGTCTCCCCCCCCTTTCCCAGGACGGTCCATTACAACCTGACCAACAGCAAACACTTCGCCTTCCCCATGTCTGCCATCCCGGAGCAGCTGCAGGGCCAGACCAGCATCCTGCAGTACTTCGCCTCCTACATGGAGCAGCATCTCATGAAGGTGAGAGGCCACCTGGGCCTGCCAGGTGCTGTGGGGTGGCCTGCAAGCCGGGGGGCACGGAGTAGGGGGCAAAGGGGACCACAGTCCCACAGCTGGAGATCCAAAAGGAGTCCAGGGCTCCCTGCCACTACTGTGGCGGCACAGAGCCCCGGGCCCTTTAAATTGCCGCTGGAGCGCTGCACGGTGTGCTCCTGGCAGCTGTAAGGACGGGCGGGGTGCACCATGGTCCAGGGGGTGCTGAGCTAGCTGCCTGGCCCCACCCTTTCCACCTGAGGCCCCCCCCCTTGCGACAGCCTACAGCCAGGCCCTGCCCCTGGCGGAGCACTCGCGGAAAGGGGAGCCTGTGGCATTGTGCCCACGCTGGGAGAGGCAGCCAGGCGCGTGCCTGGGGGAGTGCACCCAGGGGCCTTGAGCTCAGCCGGGCGCTGCCCAGAGCCTTGCAGCCAGGGTCTGGGGGGGATGCGAGAGGGTTCCTTGCCCTCGGCCCAGCTCCCGGAGAGGCGCTGGCCGGGGCCGCCCCCTCGCCTGGCTGGCTGCGAGGGCTGGAACCGGTGGCTGAGGCTGACTCCTGACTCTCCCAAGGGGGGAGACCTGCCCAGCATAGAGGAGGTGGAGCATCCCGTGCTGCTGCTCTTGCAGTGGGTGAAAACCGACCAGGCCTTGCTGATGCTCTTCAGCAACGGGACGCTCCAGGTATGTGCGTGTGTGTGTGTGTGTGTGTGTGGGGGGCTGTTCAGGCTGGAGTGTCCCCTTTGGGGCTTGGGACCCTGCTCTGGTCAAAAGGGTCGTCTCAGGGCTCAAGCGCGGAGCAATGCCCTCTAGGTCTCGTGCTCTAGGAGCTCCACTAACCCGTCGGCGGGAAAACCTTGTAAGGGGACGGGGGCGCGGGGGACCGACCCCG